CCCTGTGTGCAGGCAGCAGCCAGAGTAGCTGTGATGGGCACTGACAACTAGGTCAAGCTTTCCAGCAGTTTGGGACTCTGATTGGCTCTGGTCCTCCTTGGGAAGTAGAGGGGCAGGAACCAGAACCCTGGGGCTCTGCATAGGAGTGATTTTGGAGGGCCAGGCTGACTTGTGTGAGTAGAGTGGGGCTGGGAGTCTCACTTTCTATTGAGTTAGAAATTGCACTCTCCTATTTTTCTATTCTTATCTTGGCCATTCTAAAAAGAATGGACAAGACCCTGCAAGGGCTCATCTGCTTTATCAAGTACAGAGAATATGATAATTTGGAGTGGATGTGATTCTGGGGCTACCACCCTGATGGAGTACTAGGAAAAGCACTTCTCCACAAATTGGGTGAAGAACTCCAACCTCCTTGCTGGTCACAGCATTGCCCCTGAGGCTGGACTTCCCTCTCTGGGCTTGGGAGCAGAAGCTAGAGTTTCCCAGGTATTTCTGGACTTCTCTCTAAACACATTCTCTGACAGATGTTCCCACAGAGGCTGGCAGCGGTACCTGAGACCTCCACCCATTGTTCCAGGCTTTCCAACAGGCTAGGCTACTTACTACACTGGTGCACAAAATTAAAAGCAGCTAAAATCAGGGAAAATGTATAGGCCTTGGAGTTAGACAATCTAGGTTAAATTTCTGCTTTACCAGTCAACCGTTAAACTCTGGCAACATTATTTTTCGCCTTGGGACATCAGTTTTCTCACATATAACATAGGGAAGATACATAGACTTGCCATCATGCAACATTGTTCTTGGGTTAGGGATACACGATGCAGTGCCTGGAATTTTGTAGGTGCTCAATGATTTCTGCTATCATAAAAACAATAAAATCAGTGTTGGGAGTGACCTCGTTGTTCTGTTAGGTCAGAAGAGATGGAGCTGAGAGCCCCGGCCTCTCTCCCTGACTGCTTTTCTGTGGGTCTCTGAGAAGGCAGGAGCTGAGAGAGTTCTGGGGAAGAGTGTGAGGAGGGGCTGGTCATGGGGGCTGAGCTGGCACTGGGGGAAAGAGTCTTGGAGGCCAAGGGGAAGGAATGAAGAGGATTGAAGGCCTCAAAGTGGATTGCCACTCTTTGTAGCTGGGGGTTCCTGCTCCCTCATCCTCAAGAAAAGGCCAAGATGTCCTTCACAGTTCTCCAAGAAACATTCCTGGGACTTGCTAAGATAGTGCGACTTTTTCAGAGAACTATCTCAAGCACAGGATTATCCCTTAGAAGTGAGAGCAGTGTGTGTGGGCTTTCTAAAAGAAAAGAAAAGAAACAAGAGAAAAGAAAAGAGTTCCTTTGTTTATTTTTCCTTGATTATACCTTATTTTCAGACTAGAGTGATTTAGGTCCAATTTCCTCCAGCTCTCCAAAGTTCTATCTCTGAGAATGTGCCAATGGCTCTAATTAGCAACAGTTGCTCAGGCTGGAAGTCACTGGATCCTTCTGCCTGCCTCCTGGTGGGACTGTGGGAGGTGGGGATGCTTCAGGGAGGGGCAGTGTGAAGGGTGACACTTGGTCCCTCTAGCTGGCTCCCTTGCCCATTCCTTTATTTCTCTCCTGCTGCAGTCTTCTGAGGTGTAGCCCGATATTTTACCTCCAGCAACAGCTGCCTGTGTCCTGCTGCCGAGGCACCTCCCTTCCAGTCCGGCTGAATCTTCCCCTCTGATTTCTCCGTATCAATGCCTAGGCTTTGCCATTGTGAGGGACTGATTGCTAGTCAGCATGTGTGTGTGTGTTGTATGTGTGTGTGTTTGAGGTGGAGTGTCAATGAGGGTGACAAATAGGAAGGAAATAAAACGTTTTTAGAAACTTCATACCTCTTTAGAGATCTTCTTTCCCATTTTTATGGAAATGTTCAAAGACAGTGCTTTGCACACTGTGACGCAGTTTTTGCAATGCCTTTTGACATGCCTTATCTCATGATTTTGCAGCAGCACTATGATTTCTTATTATTGCCCTCTGCATTTATTTATTGCAGAGACTTGCATTCCTAGCCCCAGGACTCTGCTCATTACATCATTTTACCCTTAGAAGATGGCAATCCATGGCAATCCATGATACTTCCCCAACACATCTCCTAAGGCAGCACATTTTAATCCTGGTCATTCATTGCACTGCACTACCATGTCTGTTCATGTGAAATTTCTGGATGATATGGATATCTGGCTCCCTGGAGAGCCACAGCCTTCTTGCTAATGTCTCCAGGTGAGGCATCTAGGTCCCCTCCTCTCTTGGGCACAAACTGTGTGTATGTCCACTTTACATGTATTTAGAGCCAAGACTTTGCACCTGCTCTGTTCTCTATGCAGCTTCTCATGCCCTCTGGCTCCCTGGGTAAGAAAGACCTTTTCTGTTTGACCTAAAAGTTCTTGTTCTGAAGTTAAGACCACCCCACTTGAACCTTCCAAACATTCTTTTATTCTTCTCAAAAGTCTCTAAAGTTCATACAACTAGAAATCCTTCCTACACTCTTGACCTTGTTGTCCTCATTAGATGCCTATTGAGGGATTCTTCTTTTGAAAAAACTCATTTTACTTTTTAAACAAACATTAACTAAACACTTAATAAATATGGTAGGGTTCCTGCCATTAAAAATTCATAATTCAGGGGAAAACGATAAATATGCAATAATTATAGTTCAGGAGGATAAGTTCATAAAATGCGACCTAAACAAAGTCCTTTGGGAGCACATAGCAGGAAATATTTAATTATACCCAAGGGAAAGAGAGTTAGGAAAGTAGCATAGGAGAGACAGTTAACCAGGACATGAACGGTGAGTAAGATTTTGCTCTGTTGGAAAGTCAAGGAGGGAGGTCTGAAAGGACCTTGACAAAGGAATAAGAAGTAAAAAAGACAAAAAGACACAGGGGCATGAGAATCAATGCTTCTTTATGAAACACTATGTACTTTAACATGGCTGAATCCTAGGGGCCATGGTGAGAAGTGGGAAGAGAGAAACCTAGGGCCAGATGCTGAAAGACAGATCTTTACCACAAGTTAGTCTTTATTTAGATTGAATTTGGAGCTTTCAAAGGAGTTTTTTGTTTTGTTAATCCTTACTGAAGGATACTTTTCCTTTGGTTTTTAGAGAGAGTGGAAGGGAGGGGGAGAGACACAGAGAAACACCAATGTGAGAGAGATATATCGATTGGTTGCCTTCCACAAGCACCCTGATTGAGGTATGTGCCCTTGATCGGAATTGAACCTGAAATCGTTCAGTCTGAGGGCTGACTCTATCCACTGAGCCAAACTGGCTAGGGCTCAAATGAATTTTTTTTTTAAACCATAGCTAGTGACCTGATTTCTTTTGGTTAGAAGACTATTGGGATTGTGCCAATGAAAAAGATTACATGAGAGTCATGGCAGTCAGAATTGGAATATCTAGCTTGTGTGACTGTTTCGGCCACCCTGACAGAAAAGAGGAAAAACAGTTAATAACAACAGACAAGATTTTTTGCACATTAACTATGTGCCTGGCATTGTGTTAAATGTTTCATCATCCCATTTGATCCTCACATTGATATTTACTAGGCAATGACTGTTATCCTCATTTTAAAGAGGCTTAGAAAGGTTAATTTAAATGGAGGCTTAGAGAGGTTAGTTGGTTTGCCCCAGATTGCACACTTAAGGAGGTCTTTGACTGGGATTTGAATTCAGGATTAATTTCATACCTCATATTCTTAAAAGCTATACAACTGTGTGTCTGTAAGAGTTTGTTTTTGGACAGGGAGAGTTTGATGTGTTTGAGTGACAGACAGGTAGATCCTTCAGTAAGACTTTAGAATTATGAATCTGGATCATAAAAGATAATTCAGGGCTGGCTAAATAGATTTGGGGAACAATAGTTTATACATAACAAATGGAAAGGAATGAGATGGCTCCAGAAGGGGGGATATAGAACAAGAACACTGAGGATAAAATTCTCAGAGCATTATCATATAAGAGTATGCTTAATGATCAAGCAGAGGAGACTGGAGATCCAGAAAGGAGACCAAGAACTAGTGATCAGAGAGAGATGAGGAGCAGAGGGAGGAGGGAGAAGTTCTAAGACGGAGGGATTTGCTCCCAGTGTCATGCTACAGAGAGGCCAGGACAGAAGACTTCAATGGCTTTGCCTCTTTGCCTAAAAATCTAGGTTAAATATGGCTCCTTATACCTCCTCCCTCCAGCAGTTTGAATTAAGCTCTGTTACTCTCTGTTCTAAAACTTGTGCTCCTAGTGTTCCCCTGGGTGATAACTTAATGGTAGAACAAAGATTATTGACACATCCTGAATGCAGTGTTAGATGCAAGTCCCTCCTGATGCTCGCCATGAGCTCTTCTTCACACTCAACTCTTCTCTGGTTACCCATGCAGAGAGGCCCTACCCTTGTTGTCAAGAGCCAGACCTTGTCAATCTCCCCTTGCTATTTTCTTCCCAAGATAAAACTATCTGAAATATACCCTAACAATAAATGGCACTACTTTCATAGCTAGCTCCCAAATTATAGCTGAATGTGTGTGTGTGTGTGTGTGTGTGTGTGTGTGTGTGTGTGTGTGTGGTATAAATTTATACATTTTACATAATCTCATAAAAAGTAGGAGCACGTGAATATTTATGGACGGTAGAAAGGAAAGGAGGAAGTTAGTTAACTCTACTCGTTTTAACTGAGAGAGATGATCTGAGCAAACTCACTTCTGACATTTTTCACCTCAGCACTCTCTACTTAGATCCCTCACTTTTGTAGCCAAGGGCGGGGTTGGTAATCATGGCTGGGTGAATTATCTGAACCTTGAAGGGTGGTTAGGTTGAGTTTAGAATAGGCTCAGAGGGTGGATAGACAATGACGTTAGAGTTTGGGTCAGAGAACAGGGCATCAGCATGGAGGGGAGAGGTGTGGTGTTGTGATTCAGGAGGATGTGACAATTGTTTATCTTTGCATTCTAGCCTCCTCAGGTCTGGCATTGACTTCAACTCAGCTTCTTCACTATGGTGGGCCCTAATGGCAATGAATCCAGTGCCACATATTTCGTTCTAATAGGCCTTCCTGGCTTGGAAGAAGCTCAGTTTTGGTTGGCTTTCCCTTTATGCTCCCTTTACCTTATTGCTGTGCTAGGTAACTTGACAATCATCTACATTGTGTGGACTGAGCACAGCTTACATGAACCCATGTATATTTTTCTTTGCATGCTTTCTGGCCTTGACATCCTGATCTCTACTTCATCCATGCCCAAAATGATGGCCATATTCTGGTTCAATTCTACTACCATCCAGTTTGATGCTTGTCTGCTACAGATGTTTGCCATCCATTCCTTATCTGGCATGGAGTCCACGGTATTGCTGGCAATGGCCTTTGACCGCTATGTGGCAATCTGCCACCCACTACGCCATGCCACTGTGTTAACATTGCCTCGTGTTACCAAGATTGGAATGGCTGCTGTAGTACGAGGTGCTGCACTTATGGCACCTCTGCCTGTCTTCATCAAACAGCTACCTTTCTGCCGCTCCAATATCCTTTCCCACTCCTACTGCCTACATCAAGATGTCATGAAGCTGGCCTGTGCTGACATCCATGTCAACGTCATCTATGGCCTCATCGTTATCATCTCTGCCATTGGCCTGGACTCAGTTCTCATCTCCTTATCATATCTGCTTATCCTCAAGACTGTGTTGGGCTTGACACGTGAAGCCCAGACGAAGGCATTTGGCACTTGTGTCTCTCATGTGTGTGCTGTTTTCATATTCTATGTACCGTTCATTGGATTATCTATGGTGCACCGCTTTGGCAAGCGGCAGGACTCCCTCCTGCCCGTCATCATGGCCAACACCTACCTCCTTGTCCCTCCTGTGCTCAACCCTATTGTCTATGGAGTGAAGACAAAGGAGATCCGGCAGCGCATCCTTCGTCTTTTCCATGTGACAACCCTGACTTCAGATCCCTAGGTGTCAGTGATAAAACTTATTTTTCACTCAAAGTTCTTTAATGCAGATTTTAATATCAATATTTTGGGAGACAGTATTAGGAGAAAAACATTTTCTTTAATAATAACACAACTGATCCTTCAAAGATGAAACTGGTGGGAACATCTGTGGATAAGGGCAGCATAACAGTATACTCCCAACCCCCATTTTTGAATATTATTTTTTCCTCTAGTTATTTTCTATATATAATTATTAAAATCCTGAGGTGGTTGTAGTTGTAGGATTATTATTTCCCATTTAACCATCCAGTCCAATTCTCTAAACTGCTTGTACTAGCCCACAGCATTCTGAGATAAGGGTGCCACATCGAAGGCATTTTTACCAAAGGCTTAAGCATGGCAAAGTGAAATAAACTCAAGAATACAATACAATCAGATACTTTGGCTTAAAACTATGATTTTTTCTCTCCCCAGAAACCATATTGGATCTCAGAAAAGAAGATATACTTGGGTTTTCTTCTTCAAAATGATCTCCACAAAGAATATATAATTTATTTTCTTTTGGGCATCAGCCCTTATGAGGGAGATTGGAAGTAAATCCATGCAAAAATGACTGTTACCTGCATTAATGAAAGATGACACACTGTTCTGAGAGTTTTCACAGTCCATGGACACTTCCTTTCAATTTGAATAGGAATATAATGAGTACCCCCATTGTACTAACGGGGAAGTTGATGTTCAATGGGGACTAATAAATTACATGAGGTCACACAAAAAAGTTGTCTTTTGATACCTAATCCTATATTGTGAGGAGGAATTGTTAGACCAATGGGATAGTGAATTAAACATTTCCATAGTCTTGCATTTTCGAGGGGAGGTAATTAATTTCCTTTCTTACTCATTCAGTATTGTATTTAGAAATTTCCCATCAATATTGTTGGTGGCTTTAATCTCAATAGTTTCTGGTCCATTTACAACTGAACTTGTGAAGTAGCAGCAGGAGTGTGTTTGGGTAATTTTTAATCAGTGGCTAATTTGGGAAATAGTATGATTAGCAGTGGAAGCATTCACTGGGTATCTGGAGAGGCACTTCATAAAGAGATGCATCAGAAAACACCTTGAAGCTCATGGGAGAAACGGCAGGTCTATCACAGACCAGGGAATCAAGAGCATGACACATCATGAAACAGAGGAAGCCCATGGGGCTAGCCATGAAGCAAGGCTCCCCATAAGGCAAGCATGGGTCCACAGAAACAGAGTAGAGCATATAGGTGGACAACTACATCCCCAGGGCTCTGAGCTGCCTTACAGAGGAAGCACACAACATCAATGCTTGGAGAACAAATCTACAGGAGAGACCAATAAAGCCTGCATTCCTGCCAGCTGTACTTAGCATAAATGTGGTCCCAGTGATCCCAGGACTCCCACAAGCTAGGTAGCATAGCACTTCCAGAAGGAAGCTGAATGGGAAAGAGGGGTATGGGCTCCACAGGAGTGCAATAAGCATAAACAGGGCAGAAAGGAGACCACTACCCATAGGGGGAGTGCTCAAAGAGAAGTAGCTAAATGTGAGAAGCAGGTAGTAAAGCGGAGAACATGGCACAGGGCCAGCCAGACTTTTCATAGCACAAGATTACTTAGTAGAGAGGATATGGAGCGAGCATATCTGATTTCTTGGACTGGAATCCAGAAGATGAGAGTTGTGAATAGTATGAAATATGATATACCCAGGTGAGTGGTGGCCAGCAGAACTAGGAGCATAAACTTGAGTCATTGCAGGCTTCATTTAGAGGGAATGAAGGATTAGCCCATTGCCCGGTAGAGTCCAGACAACTGGGACTGAGAGAAAGAGACAGAATGAAAGACAGAGAACGACATATCATGTTTTCTTATTAGGAAATCAACACATGATTACTATAAATATAAATCTTAGACATTGTGAAAATATTAAAAAAGTAACAATATAAATGTAATTATAATAAAAACTCCAATAAACTTGTCACCTTAAAAGAAAATAATTATTAGCATTTTGGTGTTTATTTTTTCAGATTTTTATTGTGTTGCATGCATGCTTCTGTAGGGGCATATGCTAAATGTGTGTGTCTGTTTTATACTTGAAATGCTATTGGAGACATAGATAGATGAATAATAAGCAGATAACTATAGAGATGTCAAATTCATTATTTCAGATTTTAGTAGGGATTTCATGTCTATGTTACTTAATATGCTCTGAATAACATTTCACAGATTTTATCCTAAACCACTTAAACATTTTGTGAGTGTAAATACACACACACACACACACACACACACACACACACACACACATTGGGTTACCTGGAAGGGCCTGGAGTTAAGAACTAGAATGAGAGGAAGAGGCTGCTTCTTTTTAGGAAATTTGGCTGGAAGTTAGGGTAGGTTCTGGACAAAGACCTTCATCGTATGCCTTTTACACAAGCATCCTTTTACCTTCCCCATTTCTTTTGTTTGTATATTCCTGCCTCCGGCCCTACCATCTCAGCCACTTGGACCCTTTTTTTTTATATATATATTTTTTATTGATTAAGATATTACATATGTGTCCTTGTCCCCACGTTACCCACTACCCCCCCCCCCCCCCCCCGCTCATGCCCTCACCCCCCCGTTGTCCGTGTCCATTGTTTAGGCCTATATGCTTGCATATAAGTCCTTTGGTTGATCTTTCCCCCTTACCCCTACCCTCCCCTACCTTCCCTCCAAGGCCCGACAGTCCAATCAATGCCTCTCCATCTCTGGATCAGTCCTTGTTCATCAGTTTATGTTGTTCATTATATTCCACAAATGAGTGAGATCCTGTGGTATTTATCCGCTCTCCAGTTCCATCCATGCTGTGGCAAATGGTAAAGAGTTCCTTTTTCTTCTTCCTCTTCTTAAAGAATACCTTTCAGCATTTCATATAATGCTGGTTTGGTGGTGATGAACTCCTTTAGATTTTTCTTATCCGTGAAGCTCTTTATCTGACCTTCTATTCTGAATGATAGCTTTGCTGGATAAAGTAATCTTGGTTGCAGGTTCTTGCTATTCATCACTTTGAATATTTCTTGCCACTCTCTTCTGGCCTGCATGGTTTCTGTTGAGAAATCAGCTGACAGTCGTATGGGTACTCCCTTGTAGGTAACTGACTGTCTTTCTCTTGCTGCTTTTAAGATTCTCTCTTTATCTTTTGCTCTTGGCATTTTAATGATGATGTGTCTTGGTGTGGTCCTCTTTGGATTCCTTTTGTTTGGGGTTCTCTGCGCTTCCTGGACTTGTAAGTCCATTTCTTTCACCAGGTAGGGGAAGTTTTCTGTCATTATTTCTTCAAATAGGTTTTCAATATCTTGCCCTCTCTCTCCTTCTGGTACCCTATAATTCTGATGTTGGTACGCTTGAAGTTGTCCCAGAGGTTCCTTACACTATCTTCATATTTTTGGAATCTCTTTTCTTTTTTCTTTTTCGGTTGGGTATTTTTTGTTTCTTTGTATTTCAAATCTTTGACTTGATTCTTGGGATCCTCTTGTCTGCTGTTGGATCTCTGTAAATTATTTTTTATTTCAGTCAGTGTATGCTTAATTTCTAGTTGGTCCTTTTTCATGTCCTCCATGGTCTCACTATACTTATTGAGGGATTCATTAAATTTATCGGCGGTTTCCATAAAATTCTTGAAAAACCTTATAAACGTGGCCTTGAACTCTATATCCAGTCATTTGCTTTCCTCCATGTCTGCCATTTGTGACCTGTTTCTTTGTCTCCGCATTTTGGCTGCTTCCCTGTGTTGATAGAGTGGCCCTGTGCTCCAGGTGTCCTGTAGGGCCCAGTGGCTCAGCCTCCCCAGTTACCTGAGGTGGACACTCTTGGTGCACTCTTGGTGCCTTGGTTGTTGTAGGATCACTGGGAGGAATTGACCTCCAGGCCAATTGGCTGTGAGAATCAGCTGTGTCTGAAGTGGGAGAACTTCTGTGCTGAAGACACCCTTCTGGGGCAAGACTTGCTTCAGTGGGGCTTTGGTGCTCACTGAGTCTGCTCCCTGAGTGTGTCCCTTATGGATCTGAGGAGTTGCAATCTGGATGGTCCCCCTCTGACCACTGGGTACAGTGGCTCCTGGATCTAAGGAGGTGCTAATTCAGCCTCTGCCTGAGGCCACACAGCAGGAGCCACGAAGAGGCTCAGCTGTGAAGCAATGCAAGCCGCTGCGGGGCCTTGGGCCTTCTCTTGGAAGTTCTGGGTCTGCCTGGCTCAGCTGCAGTTAGGTACATTCACATGCAAAAGCCTCTGCCGCAGCCTGGGTGGGGCAGGGTCTCAGGGAGTCAAAGGGCGGAGAAAGCAGCTATGGCTGATTCTCCTAAGGAGTCGCGCGTCTCAGTGACCTGACAATTGCTGCAAGCACCTCTGAGGTAAAGCCGCACTCAAGCTCGCCCGCTGCCTGACAGTCCAGCCTCTTCCCGCATGAGTCCTGGGTCCCCAGAGACTTCCCGGAACCGGAGTTCAGAGCAGTAGGGAGCTTGTGATTCAAAAAAAACAGCCGCGTCCTCAGGTGCCACCCCCTTTCTGCGCGTGCGCGAGCCGCCGTACCTCTGCACTTCACCTCCGCAGCTCCTCTGGCTCTCAGTGTGCTTTTCTTTCCTTCTAGTTGTAGAATTTACACTCAGCCAGGCTTCCTGTTGTTCTGGATGATGTCTGCTCTGTCCTTTGCGGTATTTTTCAATTGTTGTGGGAGGCGGCAATTTCTCGGTGTTTATCTATGCCGCCATCTTAGTTTCTCCCCACTTGGACCTTTTTGAATCCTGAAGAAGTCTGAATGTTAAATCTGTCTATAAGTCACTTGTTCATTTTTTGTAGGTTTTATCTGTTTATAAAGCAGTTTATGAACTGTTTTATAAACATGTCTTGTGTTCTCCATTCACCAAACCTATTTCCTCCCCATTGTGGACACAAAGCTAAGCATTTCTCAGCCTCTTTTGAGATGGGTATGATTAAATGCTAGCCATTACTTTCAATGTGAGT